GAAAGATACAAATCTGAAGAAGTATGAAAGTTTCAAGTGTGTAAGTTTAAAAGCGTGAAAGTACATTGATAAGAAAGTCGAGAAATGTAAACTTCTGAGGGTAGTCTTAAAGTTTTGAAGTTTTGAGGTGATGAGAGATATAGAAGTTCAGAGATCTGTAATTATACTGAAGTTTAGAGATGCAGACGCGAATTTGAATTTGCAAAGTTAAAAGTGTTGTCTACAATAGCAGAAAAAATCAATAAAGAAACGAGTAAAACTCAAACATTTCAAACGTAGAACTTTGGAAGTAACCACAACATCAGGACAATAGCCAGACCATGGCCAACCATGGTTTCATCACTGATGAATGATGTTTATGGTCATTGCAGCTACTATGGCTTCCTATAGCTCCATCGACGTTAAAACCATGTAGTAAAAACCTTTGAATGTATAGGTCTACTCAAGGTATAAATAAAACCAACTGGTTCCTTCTTTTCGGATCTCTAACGTAGAGATACTAGAACCAGACGTCACTTGAAGTGGAAATTAAAACAAACCTAAATGCAAGACTTGCAATACTGCAAAGTGCTGATTTATTTGAGATCAATATTTCGGCTAACAAAATTGACCTTCTTCAGGGCCAGAGCTACTCTGTTTAGATTTTTGTGAAACTTCGCACATTAGAAGGAGAGCACCCAAAGTCTGCATAGCCTAGAGCATTTCCAAAGAAAATGCGAATAAGGGCTGCAATTCCATTTGAAGCTAAAACAAGTGTGACATCATTGTCACATGATATCTATTCAGATTGTGCGCGATGACGTAAGAGTTTAGAAGAGCGCTAGGCCTTCTGGGAGATTCGAAAACGTGTTCTGTTCTTGTAGCCATCTTGATGATCTGTGAACCTTTAGCGAATCTACGGAATCTTGTGCAATCCTTGAGAAGTTGGACCCTTCGGAGTGTTGTAACCTTTAGGAATCTAGCCTGTCTATCTTTGGAATAAAATACAGTTCAAATTCGTCTACACAGATCGCGAAAAAACAAATCATAATAAATTTAAGTCTATTTGTAATGCATGTTTGATAATGATTTTTCAATAAATAGCAAGCTGTTTATGTATAAGAGGTCCAAAGGTGAAAGGTATATATGCCTAGAAAAATACTGGTTCGAGCCACCTTAAAGCAGTACAAGGATAATTTTGGAGGACGTTGACGGTAATTTTTACCTAGAAACCGGGTGATGTTTTCAGAAATGTGGAGATAAATCTCTCAAAAATATTTGAAATTACTGCCCTAAGTTTAAGCGATATTTTTTTGCTCCCAGATGTGCCAAAGGACTGAGAAGTCACGCAAAATTTCGTGACGAATAGATATTAAGTAGAATGACATGTGATGAGTGGCCACATAAAATATACTTTCATTACAATCTTGCTACGTTTCTACTTCTACTCTCCTTTGATATCTTCTCCCTCTTTTTACATCTATTCTAAAATGATTAGATGACAATGCTCTAAAAGATAACGTGATAATCTACAACTTTCTGGTGATAAATGTAAAATGTCTATGTGAACTAGAACGTTAATCGACCACTCAGCTTTTTGGAATGGAAGAAAATTTCATTCGAAAATACCCCCCCCCCCCCCCCCCCCCCCCCCCCCCCCCCAACCCCTTACTATATACAATATAATAAACTTTTATTTTTGCTCCTTGTGGATTCTATTCTTGATCACTTAAATTAATAAATTATGTAAATATATACTGAATAAGTATAAAAAATAAAATATGAAAATTGTATCATTTGGTTATCAACTATCTTCATACGAAGATAAGTGTGTCCCCCCCCCCCCCCCCCCCTCACCTTCCCCCATGCTGTATTTGAAAAATATTGTTTTATCTAAATTAGTGGCGCCGGTATGTTTGACCAATTGAACAGTTTCAAAAATATTAATCTGCTTTGAAGTAATGAAAAATGAGGATCAGTAGATCATCTGATTCACGTTGTAATTAATCAGGAGCACATAAGGAAAACGAAGGATTAATCAAAGCACATTTACTATTTAAAGGCTGTCGAACATCGCAAGCCGAGGATAAAGAAATTTTGAGTTAGCACTATGACGAAAGACAAACCTCTATGACACCGCCGGATACGAAAACCCAAAACCACATTGTGTAAAAAAGGGAATTAACACACGCCCCCACCTGCTGAAGTCAGCTGCGGTGTCGTCGTCAACTCGGCGACAGAGGTACACTGAAACAAACACTGCCAAATGTCTACAAACAAATATAACAAAAATTGACAAATAAATAAAAGTAAGGTCCTCGAATGGATGCTGACCTGGACTTATTCGAAATTGCAACGAACATCCAAACATATCTCAGAAGGCTACCCACAATTCAACATAGCCGACCCAATCCTCTTGTCCGTGCCAGCAAAATAGCTATTTCTGTCTGAGATTACCAAATGTCATTATTACCCATAGTGCGACAGCTCCGCTATAAATTACAGGGAAAAAGTGATTTTTTGATTGATCAAAGCATGTCTAGTCGCTTTAGTTACTTAATTTGCTGCCTTTCTTTCTTTTTTTTTTTAATTGCAAGTAAAACACAAAGAAGAAGAAGAAATTACACGGAACAAATTGGAAGAAAAAAAATTACACGGAATAAATAAATAAATAAATAAAAAGAAAAAAATTGTAATTCACACACTTACATGGCAGTACTTACAAATATAAACTAGATTACAACGGTGCTTATTCCATATATTACTGTACTTAGTATAATTTATGATTAATTTTTACATTTCTTTGCTTTCTTTGTGGTAAAAGTAATATAAATATTCATGGTAGGTGCAGATAGTACTAATTTATGTCCTTATGTTATGTTGCCTTACTTATTTAATCGTTTTTTTTGGGGGTGGGGGCGGGGGGGGCATTTTAATCATAAAAAGAAACAAGATTATAAAAAAAAAAAAAAAAGTAACAATGAAAGATATAGCTATAA